TCGTCATTCGTCGGTAACTAGCAAATCCTTCTTCCAAGCGCTTCTTTCTTCGTCGTATAATTAGCCTCGCGCGTGCACATGTGCGCACGCACGAACACGCACGCGCACGTACGTGAGTCACGTACACCTGAGTGTTCGTTGATTGCGCACGTGGTGCGTGTAAACGTGCGTATCGCCCGCGGCACGTTCGAACGAGCAACAAATTTGCGGAGCGGATTGTAAAACGAGAAGATTTGCTCATCCAAAAACATAGGTATAATATGTATATATCTATATGTGTATGTACGCATACATATATACACACAAATACACACAGCACATATATATATATATGTGTGTGTGTGTGTGTGTGTATGTATGTACATTGATGTATATCGTGTGTATAATGCGATATAAACGTAAATTAGCCGTGGCGACGCGACACGCCGCGTCGCGTCGCACCGGACCAAGCAATATTTCGCGTCTCACTAAACCCGCCCTCCCCCCGCCGTTCTTCACTGTGTGTGCCTTTACGTAATAATTTATCTGACGTTGATTTAGCTAAAACTAGAATAATTTACTAAGTCTCTAGTTCCTTTCAATCGATACGTATATACGCACGTACACACGTCACGCACATAAGTGTGTGTGTATGCGTATACGCATAAATATATAATATATATATATATATATATCATATATTTCATATTTATAATATTTATATTTATATATTTATATACTTCCTCTTCAATAATTCATATTTATATATTTATATATATATATATATGTATATATGTATATATATATATTAATTGTTGGTACTTTGGTTGATTATTTCCACTAGATCAGAGTTTTCCTCCCCGCTCCATCGCTCGCCTACCCTATCACCTACCCTACGCGTATTTTTATATATTCGGTCTGTTTCATCCCCTATTCCTCGAACCTCCCCGCCACCCCCCCTCTCCCGCCTATTGTTACCTCGCTTTCTTCGCGCGAATGTTCGTACAAATCCTGCGTCGCCCAAGACATTCTACTCATCCGACCGGGCATCGCACGCGAAATGTTCAATGTTTTGTCTATTTCAGTCACAAGAATTTCTCGTAATGAACACGTACGAATGGATCGATAGGCGTATTGAATCTGCACCCGGCAGCAATCTTTTTCTCCCTTGCTCTCCTTGTCTCTCCCTCTTTTCCTCTTTCGCGCGCGAAGTGCATCCTCACTCGAATCTGGCCCATCTCATGCCGGAATCGTGGCTAACATCGAACAAAGCGTAAAATCATAACGAAATCACATTGCACGGTAAATCATTGGAATCGTGACAACAAACTCAACATTTTATCCTCGAAACGTGTAAAGAATCCAACGTGATCCTCCTTCTCCGGTCTCTTTCTTCTTCTCGTATCGCAGCTCAAAGACAGAGATTATGAGCGTTTTTCTTTAGGACTTCATCCGATACAACTATATTACAGCATTTTCATCTTTGGTTTCTCCTTTACCTCCTTTACCTATGTTCTTCCTTCCGCGTCGTCTATTTCTATACGTTCTCAACTTTCTCTCCCGTTATCCGCGACAACGAAAAAGCAGACGACAAAAGATAATTTAATTATTATTATATATATATATATAGATATATATATATATATATTAAATAGCGCTATCACATATATATATATTTCTTATATTGTGTCGTCGGAAAATAACGTGAAAACTAAAAAAAAAAGGTACCGTAACTGGCGACGCCGTCATCCGTCTGTGTCGCTCTCTTTCTCCCTTCTCTTCCGTCCCCCCCTTTCTCTCTCTCTCTTTCTCTCTCTCTCTCTCTCTCGCGCTCTTTTCCTCTGGACAATCACAGCCTGACTGACATTTCTCGAGCGATGCTTACCGATCGGGCGAAATCATCCGTCGATCCGATGGATCACCGAGCCGCGGTAGCGGTCGCGAGACTTGGCGCGGACGGGGCGATCGTGATCGCGCCTTTAACGCGGTTCCCCCTCGATTTTCGCGCAGGAACCAACGGAGTGTATAGATTATACTTTCGGCCGGAAACTCGCGTGTCACTTACTTAGCGATAATTACAATGATAATTGTCATAACCATAGTAGTAATAAGTGCTATTACGGGAAGGACGAGCACCGTGCGCGCGCGCGCGCGCGCGCGCGATCGCTGGCGAGGCTTCCTCTCCCTCCGTCTCTCTATCTCACCCCCTCGCCTTCTCGGTGCGTGCACGCGCGCGTACCTCTCTCCACTACCTGCAGTATATAAAACCTACAGCGCGTCGTGTATTTGTTTAAATCTTAAACGTTATAAGGAGAACCGATATCCGGCGTGGATGTCGGATCGGCGCTGACCCCATGTTCGTCGCGATGACCCTTCCTCTCTTATTCCTCCTCTGCCCCCTACCTCCTCCTCCGTCTCCGCCTCTTCATCTTCATCCTCGTCATCATCTTCTTCTCCTTCTCCTCCTCCTGCTCCTCATTTTTTTTGTCTTTTTTTTTCTTTTTTTTTTCAAGGTTTTCAGACGTTTCGCGAGACGAGCACCCTGTATAATATGATTGACATTTGTCGTTTTGGGAGAGAGATACCGATATCTCGTCCGCGCCTCCGGGACGAGCCTGCCTCCTCCGCTCTCCGTAGCTCTTCATCGGTCGCGCGGTCGCTACTACTGTCTTAAACCGCCGTCGAGCGACGACGCGCGCGCGCAGGATCCTCATCGCGATGGCTACAATCGACGCCTTGGTGCGGTACAAAAGTCCGGTCAGCCTCGTCAGCTGATGGTCGCTGAGCTGCTCCTCCTCCGACGCGACGACACGACACGATTGCCGGCACCGTCGATCGGGACTGGCTGCGCACTTGCTCTTCTGGTCATTCCCGGTGCGTGTTGCACGCGCAGCGTCATCGTACAGTGCCGCGTTGTCGGACTGGCTGGCAACGAACACGACGAGAGTCCTAGAAGCGTTTTTCTCGACGGGATACTTCGCGATGGCTATTGTCGGCTGGTACTGGCCGTCGCGCCGCGACGCCGTTACTCGCATCTGTGATTGTACGTGTTATGTTCTTCTTTGTATGTATGCGCGCGCGCGCGCGCGTGTGTGAGCGTGTGTGTGTGTGTGTGTGTCGTCGTCATCGTCGTCGTACGTATCGAAACGACGAGCTCGGGCGGGAGTTTCGGTGCTCCAGGCGGGTCTCCCCGGGATGA